GGGGGGCTACAGCGTTAAGAGCTGTTCGCAGCGAGCCTTCAACACTATCAACAAGATGATCAACTTGGGAAGGACTGAAATTAACATAAGAGTCCTCTGTTTCTGTACGGCTTGATAATGGATGTAGAGCTGATGGAATCACATCCTTAAATTTAGCTATAGCACTATCAGACAGGCATCTTGAGTAGACATTTTTACCCAGTGGAGGGTAATTCAGCAGTAAAAGCTCAAAAGTTAGCAAACAGTGGTCAGATAAAGACGGATTATGTGGGAACACTATTAAATGTTCAATTTCAATACCATACACCAGAACAAGATCAAGGGTGTGGTTAAAACAGTGAGTCGGTTCATGAATACTCTGAGAGAAGCCAATGGAATCTAACAGAGAGATAAATGCAGTACTGAGGCTGTCATTCTCAACATCCACATGGATATTAAAGTCCCCTACAATAATTACTTTGTCCGTTTTAAGGACTAAAGTTGACAAAAACTCTGCAAATTCAGATAAGAATTCAGAGTATGGACCGGGTGGTCGGTACACTATAATAAATAAAATAGGTTGCAGTGATTTCCAGCTTGGGTGGGAAAGACTCAGAACAAGGCTTTCAAAAGAGTTATAGTTCAATTTAGCTTTAGAGCTGATTACAAGACTGGAGTCAAAGATAGCTGCAACTCCACCTCCTCGACCTGTGCTTCGAGGAATGTGAGTATTCCTGTGACTGGGAGGGGTGGATTCATTTAGGCTCACATATTCTCCATCACCCAGCCAGGTTTCAGTAAGACAAAATAAATCAATCTTATAATCTGATATGAGTTCATTTACAAGCACACCTTTAGAAGAGAGAGATCTGATATTCAAGAGTCCACATTTTACTCTCTTATTTGCATGCACTATTTCTCTTGTGGTTTTAACTTTTATGAGGTTTCTATAGACAACTCCTCTGTTTACCCTTAATTTTAAAAATTTAAATGACCGGGGGACAGACACCGTCTCTATAGGTTTTTCACTAAATAACTCCTGGAATGGAGGAGCAGAGAAGAGGGTTACATTACAACTCCGCTTCCTCCTCTCAACCCTGGACTGTCACCGATCTAGTCTGCTAACAATGTTGGCTAGGTTTCTAGAAATGAGAGCGGCTCCCTCCCCCGTGGGATGGATGCCGTCTCTCCTAATCAGGCCACGTCTTCCCCAGAAAGACTGCCAGTGATCCACAAAGACCACATCATTGGCTGGGCACCACCTCGCCAGCCATCGACGGAAAGATGACATGCGGCTAAACATGTCATCACTAACCAGGTTGGGCAAGGGGCCAGAGAAAACTACGGTGTCCGACATTGTTCTAGCATATCTACAAACTGACTCCACATTTAACTTAGTGACTTCTGACTGACGTAACCGGGAGTCATTAACGCCTACGTGGATAACAATCTTACTGTATCTACGTCTACCCTTAGCCAGAAGTTTCAAATAAGACTCAATGTCGCCCGCTCTGGCCCCAGGAATACACTTAACTACACTCCCTGGGGTGTTCAGCTTCACATTCCTCAGAATCGAGCTACCTATTACTAGGGTAGGCTTCTCAGCGGGTGGCTCGCTGAGTGGGGAAAATCTGTTAGCTACTCGAACAGATTGAGGGGACACTAGGTGCTTAGACTTTTTACGGCTATTCCTCCCTCGGACAGCCACCCAGCTTCCTTTTCCTGGCTGCTCAGGAGAGGCCGGAGGGGGGGAAGGGGAGGGACGGCTATCAGCTAACTCAGGTCGGTCCGCACCGACTACCTGGGACTGGCTACACTTAGCTAGCCTAGCTAAGGGCTGCTCTACTACGGTGCGGAGCCGAGCTTCTAACGCACTGAGCCTCGCCTCCATGTCTAGAAATAAACTACACTTGTTACACATACCACTACCGTTAAAGGAGGCAGAGGAGTAACTAAACATCAGACACACCGAGCAAGAAAGAGCAGGAGAGCGAGAGGGAGAAGCCATCGCTAGCTGTTAAAGTCGCTAACGGCTAAACAAAAGTACGGTAGAGCCACCGGAACCTTTGTTACATCCGCTATAAGACAGAACAGCAGTCACCCAAGATGGAAAGAACTATTGGTGCTTAGGCAAACTTACTGAAATATAATTACGTTATATGGTAGTTAGCGAGAGCAGAGAAAAAAGCGCTACCACCACACAAACACCGCTAACACCGGAAACCGGAAATGGGTCGATACGCTTACCGCTACGCTTACGCCAGCGTACGCTTACGCCAACAACAACCACTTAAATCTTCATAAAACAAACATCTGCTGTTTCAACAACCGCAAAGCAGCAACCTTTCAGATATTGCTTGTTCAGCAGGACAAAATATCCAAACAAGGAGATGACGACATGGAAAATTGACAAGATCACATGCTAATTTTTGTTATACCTATACATGTGACCCATAAGATGGTCCTGTAAAGCGGCGCCCCTGCAAAATGTATGAGGGAAATAGAACTGTTTTGAGCAGAAGTCACACTCTGTGTTTTTCTTTAACGAGCCAAGTGGAGAGATTAGTTGGTGCAGAACCAGACACTGCTGTCATCAGTCATGTTCCAGACAAGCAGAAGACGTGTGCTTTGTTGCTGAAAAGATATTTAAATGAAATAATATAGAAACAATTTAATGAAACACGTTTCTTGTCTTCTGGTTGAAATAACGATTATAACAGAATTAGTTGGTTAGAGTTGGGAGACCATCATTTTTCGGGCTGGGATATACCACACCACTCATAAATACAAATTATGGACTGTTCTGGTCAAAAGACAAATACCCCATGGGAACATAAGGGGGTGCAAGACAGTCTCATTAACAAGAAGCTGTTCTCAAGAATTATGAGAGACTGTTAACCGTTAAGTTTTGTAGGTATTGAACTTCTTGGCATCTGATTCATGGACTTTTAAAAAATCTATCTTTAGCTATTTGGCTTTGACGCGCTGCATATATGTGGTTAGAATGGAACTTCCACATGCCCCCCAGTTCAGACTTTAATGCAGCTATGTCCTCCATACCGTGTAAAATGCTTTCAGGCATTTCTAACGAAGTCAATCGAAATAGAAAAACAACAAGCTCCTGTTTTAAAGTTTTTTATCATGATGAATCCAAACATAGTATAGTATAACAGATTCAAATCTGTAATGTATCTGTTATTTGTATTAGTGTAATTTATAATGAGAAATAAAGAGAAACTAATGGTGCAAACTGAATACAAGAATAGATAATAAGAGCGCTGTTGAGTTTGGGTGCCTCTCAGACTTCTCTGCCCTCTGCTTCTCTCTTTATACTTCAACTGATTATTGTGATGATTTAAGCTCTCTAGAATGAAGTCTAAGTTTTTCCAGCTCAAAGAGTGTGTGACCCACTTCTATCAAGAAAAAAAAAAAGCTTTGTGGAAAACAGTCATTCTTTAAACACACTTGTGTTTTTTCCTGTATTGCTCTAATGAAGTATTTTAACTGTTATTCAAATGTACCTCTTTCTTAATCAACAGTAATGCCAGTAGCTGTCTTGTTTTGGAACACAAGTTTGAGAAGTAGCTGAATTTATCATTTCAGAACCAAGTGATCCAATTCTGCTGAGTCTGTGCTCAATCAAGCAAGTGTGGCCTTTTGCCCTTCTTTATATAAATGATCAGCAGCTTGCTCGATGCACAGACCTTGACTGTAGAACGATTACAGATGCTGGAAAATAGCTGACATGTGAGTTTTCATCATGACGGGATGTCAGTGTTAAATTGGCTGGAAACAAAAGATATATTTCCAGATTCTTGGACATTTTCAAAAGGCTGCATTTATCCACATATTGGTGTGGATGTTTGCCAACGCCTAATAGCTATCACTTAATTTATTTTCCCCTTTGAAACATCAAATATAATGCATTACAATCCCACTTTAAATCTAAAGTTCACAGCTAAAGCGTAAAATCGTAAATTCCCAGTAAAAATAGAAGTCAACAGCAATATTTTGATCAGACAAACTCAGTCATTACTGAATAATATGTAAGATAACAAAGAATGTCTAAAAGAAACTACAGAGGAATAAATATTTCCAATAATTCTTGTTTATGGTTTAATGTGATATCAGTGCTGAATTAATCCAGTAACAACATTTCAGTTTAGCAGCACCTTTAAGTTACTAGCAACTTTTTGTGCTCCAGATTATCACTTTTAGTAATCAAGGACTCATATTTATCCCTGCTTGAAGTATTGATAATATTTAGAAAAACCTTTTCCTGAAACAGAGGGCAGTTTCTACATTTAAATTCTCAGAAGTATGCGGCAACTCGGTTTTCATAATTGAAGCATTGTTTTCATGTTTGAAGCATTGTTTCTCATTTGTATTTTGAACGCCCTGTCATGCTGGATCAGTTATGGGTTTTAACTGTTGTGTTGGGACAAAACTGAATTAAATCTTGGATCAGAAACGATTAGTGGGTAGCATGACAAAGTGTCCCCACTCCTATATTTCATAAAGAGTCTGTTCTATTCACTTAGGTATGATTGGAGATCAATATGAAGCTGTGTTAAAAAGCTGTATGTGGTAAAAAAAATAGCAGTTTTCCTTCTGCTGGATATCACAACCATTGCACACAAAGTTGAAATTGACAAAAAAAAAAGTGCTCATAATTACTTTCAGGCAAGGTCTTTTACTCTGGTTTGTCTGATTTTGGTCTGTGGAGAGAGAACAATCAGTTTCATGGGAGAAATAATTTCAGAATCTTATGAATACAGTAATGATTAACTGGCAAGAAATACAAAGTAGAACTCTCCAGTTATTCAGTCTCATTGGAAAGGGGGCTTCACCCAGGTTTTTGTGCTGCTGATGAATTGATAATATTTTCCCCTCTTTGTATCACATATATTTAAAGGTGACGTAAACCCTGAGAAACCCATATTCCTTGGGAAAGAATATTTTCTGAATCTGGGGTAAATAACAGCAAATTAAAAGGGTATTTAGCATATAAAAGGAATTTTATTCAATTTCAAACAAACTGGAATTGACCAACTACGACATTTCATTTAGTTTTATAGCTCGCTCCAATTTAGCTAACATTCATACAAGAATAAAATATTACAGATTATTACAATAATTATAGTTAATTTTCATTTGAAAACATGTAGATTGATGATATAATAACATTGTCCAGCAATTATTTTGCATACAATACGTAATGTAAGGATTTTTTCCCCACACAATTGATGGTTGAGTCGATCTTTGTAATATTTGACAGTATAATGCTGATCCAGGGGCATTTTATTAGCTTTTCTGTGTATTTCTCAAAGGCAAAAGAAGCATAACCTAAATTTCCATAGTGGCATTTTCTTGGATTTTTTTCCTGTAAGTCTTCAGACACATAAGGTTGTGATCAACGTCAAAGCCGGAAACACACTGCATTTAGGGATTAATGCCACGTCTGGCATTCAGACGTTCATTGAGGGGTTAGCAGTAGCTCGTCCTGTGCTGTTTTCAAGGTTTTGAGCAAGACTGGATTAGCACTTGCCATGTTGGGAAGCTGATATTTATGATGTTATGATCACAAGGGAATAATTTATGACAGCCTCCAAAATGTCTGCTTGTGGCCAAAACACAGATGTCTGAACAAATCCGCTTTCTAGACAAACATGAGCAGTGGTGTGTGGGTATTAACCGAAGAGCTTCTGTTCACTGACGGGTTCTGCTTGATTCATCTGATTGTTTGAAACCTCATTGGGATTTTGACAATCAAATGCCTAATTTACACATTTAGAAGGCGCCTGCATATCCCATTACCCTCAAACACCAGTGTCTCCAACTTTGTCTCCTCTGGCAAAGTCAGTCCAGCATCAACCTCTTTGACACTATCAATTCCTTATTTATGGCCTAAAATTTGGCATTTTGACATATAGGTCTTTGAAATTGATTAACTGTGAAAGCGTAAAGAGTTGCTGGAGGAACAGCTCTTTTTTGCACTTTGAGTTGGCTTAATTATTAAGCCAATTATGTGTGTATTTGACACCTTATTAGACAGTAACATTTGGTGCTCTAACTCATTTAGGTAGGCCTCGTCTAGACTCAACTTTTTCCATTAAGTTGATGAAGTAGATCTGGATCATCTGGGGAAGCTTTTGCTAAAAAATAAAAAAGAATGTGGCAGCAGGGAAAAGTATCATATGATTCATGTTTTGGGATTGCTGAGGTATTCATTGCACCTTTATTCAATCTCCCACAGTTCCTGAGCAAATATTATGTCTTTTATTCTTTTTTCTGTATACATATAAAACTTGCACAGTAACTTTTAAAGAATTCCGATGAATACCAAAAGGGTGTAAAATTGGTAAGATGGTTTTAGGAGAAAAACAAACAAATTACAAGGAGCTGTCAGATGCCATTACATTAAGAAATACAAAGACCTATACACAACTTAAGTGCCCATTTGTACAGTATGCTTTGCAGCTTGTACTTTGGTCCATTGTCATTTGTTTGACCAGGTTTGTGTGCATTATTAAAGAGATAAATAACACTGGGAGAGGACCTGTCTCTAGGATTGTTGTAAGAAATACAAGGACACTTTGAGATAATGGTTAAGCCAAGCAAGAGTACATATGCCTCTTTTTCCCTAATATACACACTGCTTTACGTAAAAACTGCAACGAAACGATACACACTGAGACGTTTAAAAGTACTATATTCTCTTTTTCTGAAGCTGTAATAAATTCATAGTGGTGTCTTTTTGTGCTCAAAGGCAAAAGTCTGTTTTTAAAGGCAGGACCAGTAAAGTTAAGAGCCTGCAGCAAGATGCAGAGAGAGCAGGTGTCCATGGCGACGATGTGTCCTCTTCCCCCGATGTTACCACTTGCCAGGGATGGGCACCCCACATTCATACCAGCCCACGAATGGATGGGCTGACTGTCGGCCAATAACTCCAAACAAAACTGGCTCCTGTCTGTATGCACGGTAAAATCCTGCAACGCAGAGAAAATATATCACAACTTACAACCACTGCATGGATCTTATAACATACAATAAGAATTCCATGTACATGTAAAGGGTATTCTAAGCAATGTATCAAATAACAGTTTAAATAAATTAATTAAACTGAATGATAGGATTTAGAGAGTAAACTGGTAAATGGTGCAGAATCTTCTTTTCTTAATCTGAGTAACAGAGACAGAGAAATATAACAATGCGGAAAAAAGAGAACAAATTAACAAGACTACAGGGAGGGCATTTTTTGCAAATGTTCTTTTCTATTTTTACTGGTGCAACTCTATTCTAAGGTTCACAAATTCACAAATTTAGGCTGGCAAGTATTTCTAATTCATACATATATATACGGTTAAAAATAAACGATTCAACAGCAAATGACAGCAATTATCTTTTCTGCCAAGGTGCAGGAAATATTTAAGAATGAAAAAATACTGATAAGGATCTTTTTTGAATGTCAAACACATGACAAAAAGGAAACTATATACATTAAAAAGCAATAAAACACTCATAGTTCAGTTACTCAATCAGTTAATCTACCAAATTAAGAAATTACACCGAAAGCCCCATTATTAAACCGAGCTTCAGGGGTGAAAACTGTACCCAAATGTATGATTTACAAAAACAATCACATCATGCTTTTGGTCATAACACCATTGGCTTCAGTTTTAGAAATGATCATGTCTTTGATAAGATTAAACTATTACCTGTATTTCAAAGGGTATTCAAGAATAATTTGACCCAGCATAGTTTCTTTAAAGTAACTAGAGGGAGATTTGTTGCAGAAAAACTTCATCCTGTCATTTCAGCCCAGGATTTGAAAGCCATTTTGCACAAAGCACTGAATTTGGATGAAAATCAAAGCAAGAAGGAAATAATTAAGTATGGGTTTTTAAGCTGTAAAAAAAAAAAAATTGAGTTTGGCAGTCATGTTTTTTTCTAATCCAGATGTTTTGTCATGTCGTTGCCATTTCCATGACCTTGGACATTTCTTGAACGAAAACACAACATCAAAATGGTCTTGCAGCATTGACTATTTGCTTAAACAGAAGATTAGATAGATTTCCGTCTAGAACAAGTTTCAACAATTTGCATTTTATGCATCATGTGTTATTGTGACCTGACAATATAGCTGCCAGGAAGTTCCTGCATTAATCTTATTGGTTATGGTAAGATTAAGTAAAACTGGTTGGAGTAATGCAGTAATGAAAAACGTTTGACTTTTGATGCAAAACATGGAAAGTATTTACCCTAACCCTAACCCTTTGAAACATTTTTCTACAGCTGTGTTCACTGTTTATTTCTGGATAAATAAGTTTGAAGGTTCCATTTCAAACTTATTTAGAGCCATGTTGTGAATGTACCATGTTAGCAGTTTGTTTTTATTCACCTTGTGCTGAGGGCAGATTATTTGAGAGGTAAGCCGGGCCCGTTCTTCCGTCCTTATAGGAGTCAACAAACTGGCAATGGTCCTCTCCCTGGCCAACTGTATCTCCTATACTATAAAAATGCCCTGTGGGAGGAAAAACGTTGATATTTCCAAAATATACAATAGTGGATAACTCTTAAGTAGAGCACTTATGTGACACGTTACCTCTTAGACCGTCTCCCATGAAGATCTTATATCGAAGGGAATTACACAGAACCACACCCACAAACTTCTTGTACCATGTACGCTTGACGTACTGGCTTCCCTTACAGCTGCTGTGACCAGGGTTATACTTGAAGTTAAATGGAATCCAGATTGGCTCTCCACCTTAAGACATGGACAAACAGTGAAGTAATATGTGGCATTAGTATTTATTATTCATAAGGAAACATTAAGCAATGATGGATAGAAGACATATGTGTGGCTTATACTAAGTTGCCTAAAATTCCATAAATATTTTATTGCAATATTTAATGCCATATTACCTTTTGTTGATACAAAAGATAGATGGAACGTCATATTCCAAAAAGAGTGCCATTAAACTGTGTAAAGTCTTAAAAATGCAGATTTAAATAATTAACGAGGGGTAGGTCAGCTTTACACAATGTTGTGATAAAAGAAATCCTAAAACATTTTGCTGCGTTCTTTTATTTTCAGCGTCACAGATGAAAGATGAGCAATATGAAATAAACTGTGGTGATATCTCCACAAATTGGACACTTAAATAGTTAAACTATTCAAACACTATCAAAACAACAGTATTAGATATCGAGCATGATCATTGAGAACTAAAACTGCTGTGTCCTCTGGGGAATCGTGGGAACACAGCATGGAGTGATGTGAGTATGGACCAAACACTGGTGCCATTGTGAAAAAATCCAAACAAACTTTAGTTTAGATGGAAGTCAAATGAGATAAACACAAATATCGCAATTCAAACAAAGAGGGGAATATGTTTGTGTGTTGTGGCAGAAGAAAAGTTGTGTCTCATACTATGACTGCACAAAACGGGGTGCGGTGCAGAGTGGAGGGACTGCATGTTCTACATGTACAGCCAGCAGACATACAGATGGTAGCTGTGGTTGACGGTACAGCCATATTCAGCAGGTATCGTCATAGTACAGTCTGCTTAGATCAAACATTATGTCGTAGCCAGGTTTCTCAGATGCCTGCCGTACTGTTAGAATTGATTTGAACTTGACGGGTAAAACTGCACAATACGTGGTCGCCTTATGGCCTTCATTTTTTGGGGTCAAGCAGCCCAAGTAGCCTTCATGCAGGCACTATGCAATTGTGTTTCAGTATGATATTGGAAATAAAAGTGCTAAAAATAAGGGGAAATGCTTCGATAGAGAAGCCACCCAGAGTTTGGTCCACATACTTTATGAGAAAATAATCAGTATCTTTACAAGCCAAGTGCTGTTGCTTGTTGAGCTGAAATTAGAGTTGTGCTTTCATTGGACAGACTTACTTGGAGGCCTTGCGATAAGCAGAGGGTCATCTGAAAGAAAGAAAGCAAATCTTTCATTTAGAAAGAAAGGAAAGAAGTGCAAGTTTAATGCAACCATCTGTTTCATTATGGGAATGAAAGATTGACTGCCTTCCCGATCAAAATCTGCGTATTGAATATTTGGAACATTGCTTGGGGTTTGTATTTTCAGACAAACCTGATTCGGTGACATAGGTGAGCGTATCACTGAATGGTCCCAAACCAAAGACATTCTTGGCCTGCACTTTGAAGTAGTATCTAAATGAAAGAAAAAACAGGTTTACATGTTTAAGTGTTATCCAAGAGTCATCCTGTTTCTACCCAAAGTGCAATAAGATGGTTATTTAGTTTTTCATATATACTGCGAGTGAAAAGAATTAAATGAGAAATATAGAAAATAAGAACAAATCATAACGAAAAAAGGCACAGATATGTACAATGATATACATGTATAATGTAAGAAGTAAAGAAATAACATGGAATGATGATTGCACAGGAGAGATTTTCCATGGTCCATTGCTTTCAAACTAAGAATTCTTATCACATAGGGACACAAGAGCTGGTTCTAATCATCACAGCCATGTGACAACACTGACCAAAACATATCACAGAGAATGAGACAAGAAAGCAGTGCAGCTGCATGAGGATGATGTCATGAAAGAAGAAGCAGAGGGGGAAGAAGTGTGAGCCAAAGAAGTAAAAACTGTGCAAAATGCTGCATCAAGACACGGAGCTGTTTAAACATGTCAGTGTAAAAATGACTTTAGACCATCTTTGTATGGTTCCAGGTCTTTGCAGTTATAAGGTATAGCAACTGCCTTCTGTTATTGTAGTTAGACTGATCACCAGCTCTGATTTAGATTATTTAGAAATACTAGAACGTGTGTAAAGATTGAAATGCCTCTGTTAACAGTAATGTTGCAACTTTGCAAAGTGCAGGAAATAATCTAACACAACATCAAAATACATTCATGCTTTCATTGTTGAAAACACACATTTATTCTATTGATAAATCAAATGTTTGGTAATACGTTTAATAAACACCATATAAAATGAATTACTGTGGATTATTAACACACTATGTGTAAAGAAATATCCCAGATATATTCAAATTCAAATGAATTTCTATAAAACATTGTCTATTATTGTCTGCACCCAGGTGTGTATGTCTGAAGATTTGAATTACATTTTTCTCAGATTGAAGATTTGTTACGATGTCTGACAATGTGTGTTCACTTTCCATTGTTTATACTAAGGTATTTGGGAAAATCATGAAAACCCTGACCTCTGTGTCTCAGTTGTGGAAAATCTAATAGATAACATTTGGCTGTAATTGTGTTTAACCGTTTTTTCAAAAGACTAGAATTTAACAGAATTTAACCTGACATTGAATTAATTTACTTATTTTACTCTGTGGAAGTCCTTTTGTAAGTTTTATTGCATCCAATTGTAAACCTGGTCTGATCATTGCCAATCTGGTTTCATATTACATGCACGTTGCAAATTGTCACACAAAAACGCAGGACAAATGCAATTTATATCACACACAGCTCAGACAAAATCTCACATCCAAGCAAATCTATATAAATTCAAGTTTCTCATGTTTCCTGTGAGATGATACTGTAAATCTCTTAGACATCCATGCATTAGCCTCTTTCAAGGAACACAATGACACACAGGAAAATAAACATGCACAATGTGTGTTACCTTGAGTTGGGCTTTAGATTCTCCACAGGTAAGTGTGTACCACTGGAGGCTCTGGTAGACCACCTATTATTAATAACATCATCATATGAAGCGCTGTGGACCAAGTAGCCTGCAAGGAACAACATAGAATACAAAGCAATGTCATTGGTTTTCCTCATAAAAACATAGCTCATGTTTTTTCATAACATGTATAAATGGATAAATATTCTCCATTTATCAAAAGTTTTCAGACCAAAATGGCAGTATACAGAGGTTCAGTGTGAAAGACAAGTTCAACATTTTGAAAAAATGTAAAATTGTAAAAGTTATTTATTAAAATGATACTGTCATTTAAAAAAATGTAACAACTGCATTTTTCTTTCTGGAAGTTAAGTTAAATAAGCTCCTACCACCCTGCTACTGTCTGTTTTTTTTCTATTCAACCTTGCAGACAAATCATTGGATTCCAATGAGCAACCTGAAGTCACGCAGGCCTCATTCGCCCTCTTTAAAACTACTGAGACCAGCTCTCGCACATATCAGACTACCTACTGTTTTTGAGTTTGCTCTCTGTTTTCACTGGCGCAGCACCAACACAGCTGTCTGCTCACAGAAGAGAAAAGAAGTTCCAGCAACTTTGTTTTCTTCTCTTGGAATTTCATTCTCTCTCCTTTTTACACATTTAAACTACAGGTCATATTAACCATCTGCCTATAAGTTGTTCCTGGTTTTCATAGAAAATTTGTTTCCTTAGTAGTTTGGATGATAGGCTTTTGAGCCAATTACAACACCTATGACACCCACTGAATGATTTTGCCCACAACTTTTAAGTATAAATTCCATCAGAATTACAGTAAATGGAACCAGAAGTTGATTTCAGGTGAAAGACATTAGCTTAACAGCTGTTTCCATCTACTTATTTTCAAAGCTGTGACCCAAAAATGTTAAGCATGGCTGGGCAAACACACTCTTAATGTTATAACAGCACTTTGAAATCTTCATTTGCGAACCAGCCTATGTATGTCAGATAATGTATACTAGATTTCTTGAGAAGTTAACACGAATTCACAGAAGAGGTTATGCATAATGAATACTCATTAGGAAAAACATGGGCACAAAAAAGCTGATTTAGAAATTCTGTAGTCCCTTGGAATCAGTTAAGGGAAAGAAAAAGGTTTGTGGCAAGAAATATTATACCCAGAATGGCTCAGTGCTGTTTTAATAGTTGTTGGACAAAAGAGAAACATTATGGAAGCTAAGTCAGGCCTTGGATATGCTTTTTTTTATATCTTTGACAGGGTTTGTTGACAGCAAGTCATGTATGGTGCATCCTTCCAAGTTTTCCTTGAAGTCATTAGAATTTCACAAAATAATTGCCAAGTGATGAATGCCATACAACAGAATTTGTCAGCACCGTCTGCGAGATGAGAAAAATACAAAGTAGAGCAGATGGGAAGAAAGAGAGGAGGAAAATGCCTGTGACAGGACACCATCTATCTGTTTTACTAATCAGAGGCTTGACTCGTCCATAGTACTACCAGGAACTTGTGTTTGTCTGCCAAAGGAAACATGCTGATTCTCTAACCAGTCAGACTGGACTCTGACAGTCCACCACGAGTCAAACAGTAGGCCATTATCCTAGGTCTCTTCTTCTTTTATGACTTTTTTTCTATATGTCAGTGTCTAAGTCACAGAATTCTTTTGGTTTCCATGTGAAACAGTAGGAGCTGAGCAACCTCTGTACATGCGTTCAGTTACGAAAGTTTATTCACAATAAACCAAAGGTTGAGTTGAGTTCTTAAAATGTGAGTCCGGAGGGATGCTGGTGACATCCCTGCAGAACTACAATAGCAGTAGTTGTGGACTCCTTCAGTTATCCTCCCAGTCTTTTGAAAGCAAGCCTACCGGTAAAGCTTTAAAGCCACACAGATACTCTAATTCTCCTTATCTCTGGAACACCAAAACCTATCCTGAATATGTCTCTCTTCATTTCTTTTAGCTTTCATGAAAACCTTCATGTTTAACAGTTAATATTTCCCCAAGAATGCATGAAGCTGTAATTACTTTGTAGTGCTTTCCTTAGCATTGACACTCTTTAGAAACGTTTTGTTTTTTGTCACGGCGCATTAACACACGCAAGTCCCACTGAAATAATTTTCACTAAAAGTTATTTAAAAGAAAGGTCTTCTTCAGGAAGTTGTGGTTGAGAAACATTTCTTACCTGACACCATGTCATCCTTCAAGGGACGGGCCCAGTCCAGAATGATGAACGAGTGGCAGCCTTCCATGGCAACCACGGTGAAGTTATGAGGCTTGTTTTTAGGAGGTTGCTTCTGATTGGCTGAAGCACTGTCCTTTTCTATCAAGCCTTCGAGGACATCTACCTGAAGGTATTCCAGAGCCTCTGTCAAAGAGCAAGGAGCACCTGGGTCCTTCTGGATGTAGTTCACGAAAGGAGCTGAGGGCAAGAATTCAGTTATCTGTATGAGTTCTGTGCATTTGATTTAGTCAAGTTACAAAACTCTTAAAGGTACGATCATGAGCAACGCTTCTGATTTCCACGTCATCCCATATTTATTTTGTAAGGATTTTTCTGATTATTTTCTGCTAAACGGCACCCCTAGACATACAATATTACATGTGTTCTTTTAATGCTGAGACCAATCGGCAGCCATATGGCCATTTTGTACTGTGTGCTCATGAACTGAAATACATCATCTGTGGAGAGGATTTATGTGTCCCTCTATTTGCAAGGGGGGTGTAAATGTGGGTTTCTGTACAGCCATCACAGGTCTAGGATGTCTATGAAAGATCCACATATTTCGCTTCTGTCATGTGTTTTAAAAAAAAAATAGATAAAGAAAAAACTACTTTAAATCATATGTGACTCTTCAGACAGAGGCACACTGTTGAAATTCAGATGTAGAAAAAAATTGGTGTGTGGATGACTGATACAGATCATGAGGAAAAAGGATTTGAACGACTGCCACTGGCAATTCAACTCTTAAAATATTCTGGTACTTTTTGTATGACAACAAACAGCATCCATTTGAGAATTACTGTAATGCATATTCATACACGTGTTAAAAAGGATTACTATATAGCTTTTTGTCCCATATGTGCCCTGGTTATGTTATATTCAAACTCATGAGGCTCAGACAGCTTATGAGGTCAAGCCTCTGTGTTTGACACTTTATTCAAAGAATATTTTCAGACTGTCAACCTGATGAATTCCCCCAACATTTTTAAACCAATAAACAAGGGGAAGGAAGTCCTAATGTTGATCCAACAGACTTGTCTGTCTGTGTTGAGTTCAGAATCCTGAACTTTAATGATTTCCATTTTTGGACTAGAGAGAATTATAGCTTTCAGATGGCCAACTGAGGTATGTCATCATAAAATAGCAGTTGTTTACAGAGACAGATTGAGCCATGTTTCTGTTGCATTGCCACTGCTGGATTAGATGTGTTATGATACCGAAGATATAACCATGAACTTCTGCATTTAAAAAATTCAAATAAATAGTGACAATCTTCATTTAATTAGTTTATAAGCGAAAAGAAGATCAATTTCTCAAGGATCTCTCACTGAAAAAGAAGGTCATAGTAATAAACCTTGACTGATGGGCCGGAATCTGGGAAGTATTTTATGATTAGCATATGGTTCTGAAGGAGCTGCCTCATCACAATTCTAAATTAAAGAGACACTCCAGTAATTTCACATGTCAAAGAGAATTTATCTCACACAGTGAATGTAACATGGCCAAGTAAAAAACCTGTGCAAAGCTAAACTGAAGTTTTTTTGTGTGTTTTTCCCCCCAATATATCACCACACTGCACAGCAGACTTTTCTAACTGCTTTGAGAAACATACTTACAAGTTCTGGAAATGCTGTCAATTTATTACTGAGTCCCATGCCCTTGTTTATTGGTATACTAAAAATCACAAACCATATAAATGACTCATTCTAAGGACATCTCAGTTGTGTATTTTTAAAAGGGTTAGAGTAAGATTTTTGCTCTGTTTGTGCAACTGTTTAAGATGATAAAGTATCAGAAGCCAAAGTCAGCACACAAAAAATGTAAAATATCAGCTTGAGACTGAAGTTTAACAAGGATAAAGTCTAAAGCTCCTGAACAACATGTCCTGACTTTATTAAGATCCAATTAGGATGTGTTTTATACTTTTTTGTTTTTGCAGCACGTTGTTACAGTACAGTCAGAGAAGTTATCATGTTCATGTGTTACTGTGAAGAACGTATGTCTTCGATGAAATGAAACATAATTTCAGCCTCAAGGAACAGGGAAGAGAAACACCCGTTAGTCACAATGAAATGAACAAATCATGTTACTTTTTTCATTAACTTTTCTGGGTAGACATATATGTAATATAATAAATTATAATTAAAGATTTTCCTCTTAATATTTTAACAAACTCGTAAATGACGCAAAGATATTGTCCTGCTAACAGCAAATGTTGAATGAAAGAATCCAAATACATCTTTCTATGTAAGATATTGAGGACAGCAAAAGCAAAGGTGGACGAACACACACTCAAATACCTATGAAGCGTTTCTTTCCGCTGAGATCGAACTCAGATGAAGGACCTTTGTTGACGGGCCTGGTTTGGGGCACTGGAATTGGGATCTCTGTGGTAGTTGTGGACGTTGTGGAAGGTGGCAAGGTGGTCTGAATAAACATCTCATCTAAGAATCACATGCATAAATTAACTTTTGATGAATAGATGTACAGTCTTAACTTCATTCAATGCTGCTGAGTTCCACTAATCCTTCATAATGGCGACAATGAGCATGTACTGACTCTCAAACTGGTTGAATTAATCATGGATAGATGTGTGAGCTTATTTCCATAGGACCCAACACCCAAGACTATATTTTTGCAGCCCATGGTTTCCATGTATGTGACAATGACCATTTTACAACTCTCCAAAGTTAACAAATGTGTATAGTTACAGTGGGTGAAATTCAATTAGCTATTTCCTCTTTCATCATGGTTTTTGTCCTTGCTGCACCAGTGGGCCTTGGCATTACATCATGGTCCACTCATGCCACCAGACATCAGAGGAAAATGCTAAGAAAATATTTCAACAATCAATGGGACTTTTCCTGAAAACCTAAAAAATAAATTAAATGTCGCATGCAACTGAATCTTTAGGCATTCAAAGGCATCTAGTAAATTAAAGTTAAAATGCTAACATAAACATTCTCACAAATTTTTCATTCTGAGAGGCTTTGCCTGAACATAAGACTAATTCACTGCATTAAAAAGCTATTCTAAGACAGCAAACATATTGCATGAAATGAATAGCAAGGACATTCTGTTAAGCTTAGCAATGTTGCATGGCATTAAGAATAAAGCTGATGAAAACAGTTTGAAATGCAAGACACAGACATGATATGGAGGAAAGAAAGGGAATCGCTTGCAAACTTCTCCCATCAAACATAATTAGACAAGGAGAAAGCAGGAAATGTAACAGTCACCAAACAATGAGCATACAGTGCAGTTTAGTCCATCCCAGCCCTGTTGCAGTATATCGGTCCGAAGCCAAACTCAGCCAGTACCTTTCTCAAGAGCTAAAGCATCAGGCACCATGGACACTGTAAGCATGTGGTCCATTTCCATTCCTGAGGAGTCCTCTGTCAGACAGGCAGAAGAAGCTGCAGCATCAATCTTACAGGACTATGAACACATCTTTTAACTCACAATGGATTTGTAATTAATGCAACTAAAAAGTGACAGTGGAAAAATACTTTTTACATGTGTTTGTATGTTAGTGGCTTTTATTAATTGTGATAAAAGTTATCTTAATATAGAATGTACGTATGTGTTTTAAAATGCAGCAATAATGTCCTATAATGCCTGTATGTTTTGGTTTAGAAACAGAATGCCAACATGCAGCTGACAGCTTGTGGAGTGCTTAAACCAGGGCTTTGACCACAGCCAGCTACCACATGCAAACATTTAGATGTGGTTCCCCTGGTCTTGCATAAACACACACACTGATGTACTATACACACACACACTGACCAGATCACACAGTTAAGCACACACATTTAAAACTCTGGTGGTACAGACAGGAAAAGCTCATGGCATTGAACTAAAAAATAACAAATACATCTGAAAGATTCAAAAAGTTCAAACTTTAACTTTGTGTAAAACCTAAGAGCTAAACAAAACAGTAAGTGTTTTTTCTTTCTTTCATATATCTACCGAAAATCTTATCTCAGACTTACCTTCTGGATAACAATCCAAAATTCCTTCTAGGTCCACAACAGGATATCCATATTCATCTGTTTTGGAGAAGGTTCCCGGTGGACAGGTTGGGTATGGCATTGCAGTGGTTGACTCCTCCGTCGTCCATTCAGTGTAGGTGGGTTCAACTGTAGTAGTGGGAGCCCCGGTGGTAGTGGTGGTAATAGTCTTGGGGTGTATAATGTCCAAACCAAGAACAGGTTTGCCTCCTACCATGAGGACCTTGTCTTTGGGGTTGACCACAGGCTGGCTATCTCTGCCATGGCCAAAGAGAGCAATCCCCTCCTGACTTACCAGGGGACTGCCCCTATGATCTGGTGGGTTATTAAATGAAAGGATATTGCTTGACTTTGTCTCAATAAAGCAAAAACCATACACACTTTGTACATCATTCTTAAAAGTAAAACTCTAATCATCAAGTTAATTAATTGAAGAATGCTAACAAAATGGAACTAATGGTAAATACAGTACCTTTATGAGTATCCTCTTTGCTGATTAGGTTTTATACTCAATCTATTTTGGATAAAGTTCAGCTGTATATATTCAAAATAAAAGTACTTTAACAAATCACCAAAAATAGTGCGTCCATCTTCTCCAAGTACTACTCTCTTGGGTTTGCCTTGAGAGTCCTGAAGAACTTGTCCGTCCTGGTTTAAAAGAACCCCTTGCTCCAAGTCAACCACCTAGACAGACAAAAACAGCTAATATATGGCAACCTGCCAGTTATTTAAAATCTACAGTGTAAAATTACACCTGGCTGATTTGAAAGAATGATCTTTTCTCTATAAGTTTCACAGTCTATTATTTTTATGAATAGACAAATTTTGAAAGTTTAAATACTCCTTTAAAGTAGGAAAATACACCACTTGTACTCAGTGTAAGAAGCACAATACATTTTCTAAAGGTTTAACAAGTAGGAATTGTATACAGTTCATTTTAATAATGCAGGAACAGATAAAGCTTTATTACCCATTTGGTTCCATCAGGTCCCGTAATAAACCTTTGACCAGCAGCTTTACTGGTGCCACGAGAAGAAGCAGACTCCTTTTCACTGGTTGTTGCCAAATTAGGTTGCCCATATTTACCTACTAATTTAAAATTCAAAGCGGCCATGTTACAAAGCGTATGTTACAAAGCAGTGTCAGAAAATTGTTCAACAAAGTATCACACTATATAATGCGAACAACCTTAAGTTGTGCCTTTGAATAAAACTATATCTGTTGACAGGTTTTCATCACATGCACATACCACGGGACTTTACCGTTTCCATTGCCAGGTTTGAATCCTCCTTCATTGCTTGGTTTCCCTCGACTGATGGGAGAGCGAAGCCTACTCCCATGATTCCTTAAACTTTCTCTCATAGAAGATGACGACAACGTCGTGTGAGAGTTGCTTCCTGCTTTTGTCAAGATAGTGCCACTGCCCCTGTCCAGATCTGAGGTCAGCACTGACCGAGGTAAATGTGATGCGGAAGACGAATCAGATGAGGAAGGGGTTGAATCAGATGTTGAAGCACCTAGCCTAGAGTTTTGCGCTGTCTGTAATTTTATGGAGGGCCGTGAACCACTGCCCCGCCTGTTCAATATCAAAGAACGCATCCTCCCATTCATCCCCATACCAGAGGACATACCAGACCTGGTCCTGGAAGAGGCTTTCCTTGTACTCAGACCCTCATTGTCGTCTGTATTTCTCTGGACAGCAGAGGTTATAGCAGGATTCTTTTGGGCTGCTTCAGGATCTGCATCTTGCTTAGCACCACCTCCACTCCTTTCACTGATAGAGTCCTTGTAATTATCATTACTATTTGTATCAGATATCTCTTTGTGGATGGAGTCTTTGTGCAAACTTGAGGACTGTTGTGCATCAGAATTTGAGGAAGCAGAAGCTGCGGATACAGATGAGGTAGGTGTGTTTCGAGACTCACTTGATGCTGTATTTTGATTGGTCAAAGAAAGCTTAACTAAACCCCCTCCAATGCCATCCTTTAATGTATCATGCGTGGATGGAGTCTGGAGACCTTCACCAGTCTCTTGTATTAAGGACACTCCTGTTGCCCCAACAGCTCCTGAGACCCTTGGTTGTGTTCCCCTTAATATTGGTCTTCCAGCACCAATAGATGATGAAACCCTGGTGAAAGGAATCTTACTGTTCTGCCTAGAGGATGTTGCCCTTGTATTTGAGCCTAATCTACCTGGATAACGAGTTGCTAGCCAAGGAAATCTTTCAGAAAATGATTGGCTGACTCGTGAACGAGAAATTGCAGATTTTCCATTGGTGCTTTCATCCTTCCTTTCTTCCTCATTTTCCCCCTTCACTGTGGGTTTGGTTGTAGATCTTAAAGTCGGCTTTTCAGCTTTTGTTTCTCCAGGTTCGGCATTTTTGTAACTGCTGTCATCATTTCTGTCCCTGGATGATGCACCTTGATCAGGTGATGGATGTGAACTCTGTAAATCGGGAGTGTCGAATGAAGCTGCAGAGCTGTAGGAACCTCTTCGTGAAGCTAACTGAGATGACCCTGATGTGGCAGCAGTCAAAGGGTTAATTGCTCTCCTGTTTGAGGTTGATGGATTTGTACCTTGTACAATTACAGAGTCACGATACCTAGACTCTGATGTGGACTGGGATTTTTCAAATGCAAAAGAATCTGATGATGTCTGGCTCCCTGAATTACTTGCTGAAGATGTCCTTGATTCTTTAGAATTGAAAGTATTTGATGTTTCACGGTTTTGAGTTCTTTCTGTTAAAGTGGACAGAGTTTTTGCGGAATCCCGTGTGTGTGATGTGACTTGGCTGTGAGTGCTGTCTGGCAAATTAACCTGAGTAGAGGTGGCAGGTTTGTAACCATTTAGTGTTCGGGTCAAATTCCCTCTTAACAAAACTCCAGGATGTCTTTTGCCATTGCCATACCTTGAACCAAAACTGGGGCTGCGTACTGAAGAAGTGGAGCCTCTACCTGTTTTTGCACTATCAGTCTGTTGGGAGTTGGTTTCTCTTACACCGGAAGTGGAGGGTTTCTGGGGTGCAATGTTTGGTTCATTGTACTTATTTTGGGTCTCAGGATGTGTAGAGGAGACATAGTCCTTCCTACTAGCTGCAGACTCTTGAATATGTGAGGAAGAGGATGATGATGTTGCAGAAAATGAGGCTGAAGAGGAAGATGAAGGTAAAGATTGGGATGTTTTAACAGAGACTGAAGGAATGGAGGAGGTGTCAGAAGATGAAGAAGGTAAGTTGGACAAAGAAGATGTTCCACTTGATGAGGAGGGGGAAGTTGCCTTTGATTCAGCTTTTTTATGGACCCTGATCTTAAATGGCCTTCTGTTTGGTTGATTAGGACTAACTTGCACAGGTTTGGTTGGGGAAGGAGTCAAAACTTTGAGGCTGGGGGTTTCAGTGGTCAGACGCTCACCATAACCCTCTACATCCTCAGATATTGGGGAAACGTCATTGTCTGGTTCCTTTGTCTCGAGCCCTACTTCAGCGAACAATGTCTCTTCCACTGGAGGGGGTGTTGTTGATCTTTTGGCTTGTTCTTGTTCTTCATCCTCTGTAGCTCTTCCTCTAGTTGAATCTCTGTTCACCACATTCCTGACTGAGCCTCTCACGGAGGAGAAAATGCTGTGATAGGACCGTGTCTGGGAAAGTGGACGTACACGCCTGTTCAAAGGCATGCCAGGGCGCGGCTGAGAGGTTGTGGTGAGTTGCTCTAGCGCGTCTGTTGACTCAAGGTTGTATTCTTCATGGTTAGTGTCCTGTTCGGAAGAAGAGTCAGTCCGTTGGCTGTTCTTGGTTTTCAATAACGATGAGGCAGCACTGCCGGCTGACAGGAGACACAATGACAATGATCATAAGGATTCTGACGTGAAATGTGCTATCTTCAAGTTCACATGTATACTTAAACCATTAAATGTGCTTACACTGTGGCATGGCAACACTGAAGGCCTTGCTCTGTGGTCCCATTCCCCTCCTGTTGGTAGCTCTAATCTTGAATACGTAGCGTTCTCCTGGTGTTAAGCCATCTATGGTAGCTGTGGTTGTGCTACCACGGTACGTCGTGCTTTTCATTCCAAATGGTTTCATAGCAGGAGCATAAGACAATATATACTCTGTGTGGAAGACAGAAATATTTAGGGGGAAAGGTAAGTAATTTTCATCCCCATTTCATAATCTCTGGTTGGTTAAGTCTTCATGTCCTTCACTTATATTCAACACTTTTCATTTCAATAATTCAGAGCTACAAGGTATGAAGATAGTTCATTTTATCTATGAATACATTAAGTGCATGTCCATACGGATTTGTACCAGTTTTCTGTGATATAATCATAACACACAATGGATGTTAACACTCTGGGTCTTGATTTCTGTTTCTATCCGTCTCTTTCTGGGAATGCTACTTTAGCAGCAATATGAATGTATAACTCATAATTGAAGGGAAGTGTATGATGATTTCTTGATAAAAATATCTAATTAAGATTTAGCTTGAATCTTTCACCTCTTATCCTCCCATTGGGTTCTTCAGGAGGATCCCATGTTGCAATGACAGCTGTTCCTTTTCCTCGTAGAGGCTTGACCTCAAAGTTCTCAGGTGCCCCAGATGGTGCTATCAAAAGACCATAATAATAACAATGGAAAAACATTTTTGAAAAGAGAATTAGAAAGAAACCAAAAGCAGCATAATATGAAGAAGGTTGAGACAATTACTGCTTACAGCATGTAAAAACAGTAAGGATACTTGTGTCAATATGGCTTCAAATACAGAATACAGCTGCCATATGCTGACTAAAAGCATCCCTTGAGAGCCTGTATGAAGCTGCAGATGGAGATCTGAACTTTGAGCCAGGCAGTAAATACTGACATTCCAACGAACCACTGCTCTGGAGCTCCTGTGACATAGTATAAAAGCGGCAGCCAAACTAAAAAATCAGATGGGAGTTATAGGTGGTGAATGTAATGAGGTGTGGCATGAGGAAATAAGTAGGATAGAGCTAAAAGGAAGGGTTATGTAAGAGTGAAATATTCTGAAAGAATAACTGCTCCTTTCATATTGCAAAGGAAATTAATTGGTATGGCTCTTGTACTGCATTACAATTTGATTTGCAATCATCTTCCCTCAGCTTCATCGTGCAAATTATAAAAAGCATATAAAAAGCTTGGCAATACATACCTGACTCAGGAGTCCTCTGAAAGACTGAGACACTCCACTTGCCATGTTTTTCTCCCTGAGAGATTCTGACTGAGAACTCATACATGCCATCGGCAGACAGGGTGTCTATCATCAGCCTCCTCTGGGTGCTGTCCTTGTACTCCCACCGTGCTGACTCACCCTTCTCTCTGAACCGAACTGTATATGATCTGTGTTGAAATAAAAAGGTTTTGTTTGATTTCAACCATCCATTTGTGATACACACTTGGTCCAAGTAGAGTCGCAAAGGAAGCTGTCATTGGGCAAGAGGCGAGGCAGGCTCTAGACATGCCACCAGTCCATCACATTGTCACAAATAGATTATGAAAAATAAAGACTTTCACTCCCACACCATCCATTTCAGAGTCTCCAAGTAATCTAACATGCATGTTTTTTGGAAAGTAGAAAGCCACAGGATCTGGAGTGAACTCATGCATATAAGGGGAGGCACCACCGTGCAGCCTCTCTAATGCTCTCTCTTTATCTCATATTTTATTTCAGTTCTGTTAACAGGTTCAATACATGTTGCAACACACATTTTTGAAAATCCCACCTGGATGCCTCTGAGGCAACTTTTCCCATTTCGACAGCAGGGTCAACCCAAGAGATGAGCACCGACTTTGGAGACATGACCCTGACACTGATGTCTCGAGCTTCATACTCAGGTGGCTCTGCATGGCATACATACACAAAAATATGAAAACACTGAGGAATTATTTCATGGTCCAAACCAACTCTAAGAGAATAAATTCTGGATAAGTGTTAGCTTGTTTTGTTTTCAGATTTTATTTTATTCGTACCTGGTGTGGATGTTTTGGATGGAACTGCTTTGTTGGCAGGTGTGCTCTGACCTTGGGCCTTCTGTGCCTGCAGTGACACCACATGAACGGACTCAGATGCTATGAATAGAAAAGGATACCAGGCACGGCCAGGGTTTACACTATGGAAACTAAAGATAGTCCAAACAAAATATAGCAACTTAGCTCAATTACCATTACTAAAAACAACAGTAAAATAAGTAATATATGAGACAAAAAGCCAAAAATAGTCATTTAAATTGTATAATCCTTGCATTGCTGGTTTGTTTGCAGTTACCATGTTACAGTGATATATTTAAAGCAGTCTGTCATGTGATGTGTAGCAGCTATTGTGGATGTGCCTCTGAGGCTTTTTTACACACATACATTTCTCACTCAGTATCCTCTTAAACTTTGTTAATTTAAGTTTATGATTAGGAATATAGGGTTCTGCTTACTTAGTTTTGGTGTGTGTCTTTTCCTCTGGTCGGCCTGAGGCTTGATCTGGTGGTGACGTGTTTTTTCCAGGAGCGGTGGTCTTGCCACAGCTCTTTCAGGCTGCCTGGGACCAGAGGAAGACTGAGGTGCCCTCCTGTGAGCTCTGGTGTAGGTCACACCCACTGAATGAGGACTTCCATTTACTCTGGTTGTCCGCTCTGCGGTGGAGTGATTTCTCTGTGCAACTTGTGAAGACCTGACAGAACCTGTAAGGTGGATGGTGAAGAATGGCAAAAGTCAGAGTCCAGTCATTTTTTTCTTGCCTTTGTGACCTTGTAATCATACATCATCTGTTCTCTGTACAGGATTTCCCTCTGGGATTTTGTTGAAACGAAAACTGCATGGAAAATGTCTGTAGAAAATATTATCATTCAAGGCATATCTGTTAATTAGTAAAGCGATTCATCCAACAGGGACTGTAAACATGGCCAGTTATCACAAAAAGGAAATGCTTTGGATCTGGCCCATGTAATTTTCTCCCACTTCTGGCAGTCCGTCTCCTACAATAATCTAAGAAATCACTTTTCTGATGCAGACAGTCAGACAACCCCCCCTTTCTGGCTGAAGTCGTGAGCAACCATATTGTCAATTTCCTTCCTTATCCTTTCTCAAAATCACTGTGAAAGTACATGGACAACACAGCAAGACACAGCATTTATGACGCAGCTGATTGTAGAAGGTAGTTTTGTATGATTTCAAATGGGTTCAAAGGTTGCTGGAATTCTCTAATAAAGAAAAGAGGCTGCATGTTTTAGTTGTATTGAACGGTGTATTTTTGTCTTGATGTCCGTATCTCCTGTTTGTCCTGCCAGCACAGCTGAGTGAACTGTTCCCTTTGGATATGGAGACCAGCTTCCCTCAGTGAATCTCTGTCTCCTGATCTTGATTTTTGATCTTGAGTAGTTTTATGTAATGGGACTGCGCAACATAAAAATGCATTTTTAGTGTCAAATTAGAAAAAGGTTTTAATGAATACATATTTTTTACTGTTGAGGAAAAATCTGATAGAATTTTATTTTCTTAGTGAATGTAGTTTAAAAATAAGCATTATTGTGTTCAGTGTGGTAGTAGAAAGTATAATTATATTGCATAACCTAACCTCAGCATGTGTGGTTTCACTTCCGATACAAACCCAAAATCCTTTGTACATTATCAAAACAGATAAACTAAAAAAGCTGTTCTTTTAACTGTTTTCACGAAAATGGAAAATACTGAGATGAAGTTAATATGAGAACTTTTTTTCCTGTATTGTTCTTTGTTGAAAACTGTTGTAGTGTATAGTTTGGCCCAGTCAAATAGCCACCAACCACAAATCATCGATTCCAAAGTACGGTACTTTCAATGCCAAATCCTTGTTTTTTCATTGTAGTTTGGTGTTGTGAGGAGCTAAGAGGGTGGCCTGCAGATAGACAGACCACGGCTGCAATGCATTGTCTTCAGTTGAGGGTTTTCAGGCTAAGACGCTGACAAATGTCACTGTTTTGTGTACCTGCCCGAAAAAGAAACAGACCTTAACCGCTGTCTTTGACTTTACCCCAGCTCTGAAAGCCTTTACAAACATTTCAAAAATGTAATTGGCAGGTTTGGATCTCATGAAAGAACGCATTTCTGACTTTATTCACAGTTTTGATCATTTCCACACTTCTTTGTGGCTGATTTTTCCTGCATGCAAGACCACCAATTCAGACTCAAACGTTGAGTTTGCATACTGACAGAGAGATAAAAAGAGAGAGAGATAAAAGAAAGAGAGATAAAAAATCAGATACATCAAGAATTGTGTAGCACAAACTTTAAAATCTCTTGGAATTGCATGGTAATTAAAACTTTTAAAGTTAACAGTACTGAGAAATCTGTACTAGATAATCTTGGTTTCCTCTGCTTGTTTGATAAATAAGATGAAGTAATTGTCAAGAAATGTCTTTGTTGATGGCTGTTTACTTCAGACAAAAAATCTTGGAACGAGAGGTGACTACCAAATGTGAGCTGTGCAAGCTAAGTGACATAACTGCTCAATAATGGATGTGCCTTTGGATCAAAAGGCACACTGACTGAGGCTGCAAACAGAGCTGACTACTTCACATATTAGTTTCACATATAGGAACATTGTATCTATATTTATATTTCTGTAAATTTGTAATATGTTTTCTAATATTTTTTCTAATAATTTATCTTAATTCCACATTTAAACAACTTTGTTTCCTACAGACAGAAAAGAATAGAGTACTTGGGATTTGAAAGCCCTCACAATTATCTTATTTTGCTTTTTAGTGGTACACTTGGAATGGGCAAGGAATTATTAGTTAATAAAGAGACCATTCAGCATGTATTATCTTGGCTAAGAAAGTCCTATATAATTTCCGGCTTCTTCGATTTCTTCTGCGTTTTGACATTTAGTCTAGCACTTTGCCACAAATGGTGTTTGTTTGGCTCTTCGTACCGAAGTGAAAGCGAACAACTAGCTGTGTTTCCACAGCAGCTGTGCCTCAAACAAAACAGAACTGAGACTCCAGAGAAGTATGATGGTCTATGGTTAGCACTTTTGCCTCAAAGTAATAAGGCTTTGGGTTGAATTGTTGGTCCTCATCTTTTCACTCAGGAATTCAAATGGGTTTTCTCCATCTTAGCCAGCCAAAAATGAGGGTTTGGAGAGACATGACTGTCCAGAGGAACAGCATGAAAACCTGTTAATTCATGTTAGCGCTGTTATAGAGAGAGACTTTAAAGGACATACTGACTGCTCAAATTTTCATGAAAACCCTGGTTACTTCCACCAAGTGTTAAAAGTCTTTAAACTCAAAGTAATATGAAACAAAGAAACTACTTTTAAAGAACTTTTTAGTGTAAGTTAACAGCAATGTTTGTTTTTTTGCTATATGAAAACAACATTATTAGTATGCAACATTTCAAGTAACTTGACAAATCAGTTAATTACTGTACAAAATTTCCTGAATATTAACTCTGTGGTGCAATAAATAACCAAGGTGAATAGATTTCACTTCACATAACATTTAACTATACAAGGCAATCTGAATGAAAATGTTCATGAATGGGCCCAAAAGTTGTGTAATGAGCAATAAAGAACAACATAATTATTTTAGACTCTGACAATAGCCCTAATTTAATCTGGCAAGTAGAAAGCAATTTATTTGTCTGACATTTTTTAAAAAATTTCTTTTGAGAAATATGTGGCAATTTATCAGGCATAGACATTTCATAGACATTTATTTGGGGCTTTATGCAAGAAAAACATAGCTGTCCAAATAGCTGTAAACCTATGAATTTCATAGAAGTGACTAATTTCTGTATTGATTTTATAGAACAGAACAAGTGGGGGGGATTAGGAATGACTTTACTGCTTTTACGGACTTTACTACATTATTTCACACAACTATTTGTTGTTAAAGGGGATACACTCCTTCTAAGTGAATGTTGTTAATGATTGTTGAGGTCAGTTTTACCTGTTGATGAGTTGCTGACAGGTACATTGCCCACAACAGCAAAGCCATCCAGGTTAACCCAGTCAGGGTCTAAAAATCAAACAACAAAATAAAATGAAAAATAAAAGACAGGATGTCTGTAATACTGGTTGTTGCAAATTGTTAATAACCATATAATGTGTATCTCTTTATTTTTCTTTTGCGGGGAGATTCACTTAATTTAGCTCTGATATCAGTGAGAAAGGTGTTATTAATATCATCTTTTCATAACTTTCCACCTCTGGCTTTCTTGTTCTTGATAGGTCAAAACTTTGTGTTGCTCCAATGGCAAATGGCCAGGGACAATGATTTGGAGGCAAAGACCATGGTGTTATTTATGATGTCTGATGCAATGCTCGTGCTGCTGGGGGAAACAATGCACAAACTGTGAGGAATTTCTGGAAAGGCTGCAGTGAGACTCAGCTCTGTTGCTAAAGATTTATTACAAACCACACCGGAGCTGGAGAGACCACAAGGGCCGCCGCAACGTGCACCGGGTAACTCACACAAAACCAAGGGTTTCTATACATTTAAAGGGTATTTGAGACAGGATAGATGACAATGCATGACTTCATTGTTCAGCACCACCCCAGCCTCAACCACTACCACACACACTTATAAAAAGTGACCACAACACAGGACTGGGAGCAGGGCTGGGCTTGGAAAACAGTTGGCCGCAGTCTTTCATTCTCTGATTAAGCTTGGCTCTGCGATGCAGATGACAGAGGAAAATGGAATAATGACAAAAGAAGCCCAGACTGTCTCTACGATGCAGACTTTATATGAAGAGAAACATGAGAACTAAAATATATTTTTACAAGGCAGGATTCTGAATAATTTGAGAAGCTACTAAGACGTACATTTAAAGTCGTCTGTTGCCTGAAGTATCATCTGTCTGCTGAGCTGGTCATGCACGCAACCCGTAGTGCTCTTTCTTTCTTTCCTCTTTGGCTTTCTTGGACGACCGTGCATCCAATTATGAACTAATCCAATAATAAATTACTCACAAATGCATTCATATGTGTTTACCTCCTTTCCGCCTCCTTGTTTCCACACAGCTTCACTCATCATCCTTCACTGTTGGCCCTCATCTTGAGAAACTGCAGCTCACTCCAAAGTTTAAGCCAAACCTTTTTTTTGCACTGAATTACCTCTCTGAATTGCTTTTTCTTTTTGGTTGCTTTTTTTGTAACAGTTCTATGACCATTTGCCTTCCTGTTTATTCCTATTTGGTTTCCTCATGTCCCTGGAGCAAGGTCAGACATTCACAAAGACTTGATCTTTATCTCTCATATTCTCATCCAGCTTTTATTGTCTCGCAGGACTTTTTCTTGTTTTCCGTCTTACCTACATCCTCCAGAAGATGAGAGCGACTGTCTTTGCTCACTTTGGTGAAGCGGTGAGACCTGGCAGGTTTGTTGGAGCTGATGATGAAGCGGTCCACTGGCCTTCCATCCAGATGGATAGAAGGCTCCCAGCTTTCCCTAAAGACCTTGTCCATAGATGAATGTTTCCCATTTTGTGGCCGCAGGGCTTTCTCAGCTGCAAAACAAATGATGTCAGAATAATTTAGTCTTCCAATGGATTTATACTGGGTGGTTAAATGGAGTTTCTCTACCAATATTTCTCTACAACTTCACCTTTGATGAAGCATAAACCTATATGAAATATACAAACATGTCTGGAAGTCATATGAATAAATATGTCAGGAACTGACCAAACCCTGAAGGTGACGGACTGAAAGCTATCTTTTATAGACAGCAATATGGACTTTGTTCCTCGATTAATTTTGGAGACAAAGACAGATCTGAATGCAGTTGAAACAATAAATAATCACTCAAAATTTATACAAAAGCTGATTTGATTTGTTATACTCACAAACATGGTAACATACCTGAGAGCTTACAAGGAGTCGACAAAGCGTCTGATACCTATAGGACATTCCATCATTCATACTTCCATTTGCTATGCCTAACATGCATGTTTTTAGATGATGTGAAGAAACCCAGGATACACAAAGACATCAACTCCACACTGAAAGGCCCTATCCCCCAAGGGATTCAAACCGGGAACTATCTTGTTGTTATTTAATTATGTTGTGTTTAATTATGAAACATTAAAAAACAGTTGCCTAAAACTTGCACTACAGCTCTTTTTAATACATTAAGACAACAACATCAACAACAACAACAATATTTTAACCACCAAATAATGGTATTTTAGAAAAGAACAATTTACACTTCCTCTGCAAGAAGTGAGTTCAATGCCCTTCTAGTTAGGAATGTAAAGGGATGAGGAAAAAAGTCTTCTGAAAAAAGTCTTCTGCTTTGCCAAGACCACACAAAACTTTTTTCTTTGCCCAGGTTCCAGAAACGTTTGATGAAATGCAATTTGATGGCTGTTGGGAAGTGTTTCTGAACACTGAGGCACTCAGTGTTCGATCTTCTCCAGCATGGCAGAGCGACATAAATAATCCTTACTGCTAAATTTGGAAGTAATTATCTTCTGGCCTTTTGGAGACTGCAAAGCACTGACAATTTTACATATTGTCTAAAGATATGTGACAACGTGACAGCAAATTGTTTCCTATGTACACACCAAACTAAGACATCTGTACTTTAAGGAATGCTTTTGTCCATCTAATGAATATTCTATGGCTGGTCTGGTTTCCACTAGGTCTGAAGGGAAACTGTAGCTTAAATTTTCCACTATATATACGAGCTAGTTGCTGACTTCATCTGTCTGCTGTTTGATCCAGAGCAGGTGGGATACATTGAGCTTTCAGAGTGAAATCAGCTGCCTGTTCCTGCTGCTGGAAACTACACTAATGAAAGCAGTGAAAATAAACCAGAGCAGCAGAGCTGCCAGAATGATACTAAAATTCCAGAAGTTGAGTGATGTGACATTGTCCTTAGTTAATCCATGGATAATACAAAGGACAGGCAGCTTTAAATCTCAGAATCTCAGAAACAGTTTGTAAGGGTTGCCTATGGGAATGTGTCAAGAATGGATGTCCTGTAAGCCTGTTTTTGATCTCCAAAGGGTTCACAAATAGCATTTTTGGTTAGGAATCCACACAGTCATGTCGCCCCTCTTGCTGTCAGTAGGTCTGCTCCCAGTGGGATCTTTACTCTAAAATCTAGTAATAACTGCCACCTGGGCCTTCCTGAGCTGAAGTTAACAAATGGTCACAGCTCTCTACTTTTATTAAGTGCTGAAAGATTGTCTCATCATTGTTTCTACTGACTGCAAACACGATCACTCTGAAATACAATGCCCGGCAATGTGCATTGGTGCGTAAAGGAGATTAAGAGTATTCTCCTGGTTAACAAATAAAATACTGTCTTTAAATATCTGATTCATTAACGTAGGCTTAGAGTGGAGTTAGTTTTATTGGGTGTCTGATTCAAAGCCCGCTAAAAACACATCTGGATGCACTTGCAATTACTTGCAACCATTTTTTATAAGTTAGCGTTACTCCATTTAAGAGGATCCCCTTCTTTGCCCAAACATCATTTCTATGTCTTGGTCTTCTCTGAATTGTATAAACCAATGGTACACTGCATATTTTTAATTAAATCATTCAAGTATGGCAGATGTGAATCTCATAAAAATCAATTAAATTGTTATAACTTCATAATTCTACAGAAGAAGACTCCTTTTCTGGGTGTTGCCATGGGAGACCACAGCAACAATATTTTCTTTTCTTTTTTGCTTCTTTTTTGAATGTGAGATGGAAACAAAAATACAGAATGATTAGGTTAGACAGCGTAATATAGTGAGAATGTTAAGAATGAGGGCACGGCCTTAGGGTCATTATGTCACCGCTTTTTTCCCTCTTCAACAAAATGAGAATATAGGTTACATAAATACAGAATGTATCGCATATGAATTCCTGATGACCCAAAGACAGATAAGCACACACACACACAAACGCATGTCCATGCATGCATAGATTTCCACAAGAAGCAGGTAAGCCTGGAGGTAAAATGACAGCTGCAAAACTGTTCTAGAAAATACTCACATGCTCATGCACCTGCAGAGTTCTCGTACTTTATGAGAGAACCCTTTCACCTCACCACAAAATTACATACACTTACCCCTCATTCACTCTTACAGAGTCTGCCACTAAACCCCAAATAACTGTCTCGTTCCACAGACTTCCATGAATAATGAGGATCTCCTGTGTGTGTGTGTCTCTTAATGGGATTGGCCACTGTGCCATGTTTTTTAGTGAGATAATCATATTCCAAAGCTGCAGCTGTTACATTTAAGGACAGATTTCAGTGATCAGATTTCTGCTATACTACACACACACATACACACACACACACACATACACACATATATATATATATATGTGGCTCTCTGTTCTGGTAGTAACCAAATTAGTTATAAAGACAACACACCAGGCCAAAAACCATGGTCCAACAAGTATCATTGCTCTCTGACTCAGACCAGTCTGAAAACTGTCAGACTCGATGCTGTCAAATCACAGCTCAGAGTTGAGCCTTATTGAAATTGAAAATGTGACTGAGGGTTTTTTATATTCAAAGCAACAACCTGAAGTGAGTAATCATGTAACTTTGGAGGGTTACATGAATACATAAAAAATGATAATGGCATTTACAAACAGAGGCTGGCCAGGACAAATAAAGGCTAAAGACATTTTTGCTATTGGTTTTGCCGGTGTCAAGTCGGTTTGCTTTGCTCAGAAAAATTTCATAAATGACTATAATCCGCAGTGCTGTGACAGATGTGTTGGTATTCCAGGTGCTGTGTGTTTGAACAACTGGAAAAAAAGCCCAAAGACAACATCATAACCAATTAACCATTGACACTCATGCTATTGCTGGCAGTTTTGAAAGACTGCCAAGCTGCAAGTGGGCAGGGTTACAGGGTCGAAGTATGCCAGCAATTATACCTGACATTGTGGAAAATTTTAGAAATATAGTCACATGTGGGTGCAGAGCGTAGGACAATAACTTTGTTTTCCCAAAGCAAACTATATGAAGTCATGATATTCCTCTGTCTTATAGTTTCAGTAGTTGTACCTGCAGAATCTTGACACCTTATCTAAAGTGGAGAAATTAAATTCCACTGGCCTGCAAAGACATGATTCTCTCTTTCCCGTTACTCTCTGTCTGACGTACTCCCAATACTCTTTCCACAAGCTGATGGACCATGGCTGTATGAAAGAATTTAAAGGCCAAGTGCACTGTTTTTATCTACTATTTGCAGAGCTTTCACTGATGTCAGCAGATACATCCAAGTGTCCTGTTTCATAAACCTTTGAGAGGGATTTTAGCGTGACAAGCCGATGACAAGTGCGAGGACAGAGTTAAAGTGCTACACTCTCCTCTCAGTTAACAGCTGCCGTTGAGATCCCAAGAGGAAGGCATTTCAGTTTAAACTGCTCGAAAACGCCATTCAGTGGTCGGTGAGCTGTGATTGCACTAAGCAGCTTCCAGGTGTGAACGCATGGCAGCAGAGTTGCAAACAGCATGCACTGGAGCTCTGAGGAGGCTTCTTTGACAAAGAAAAAGAGAATAACACAAGAAAAGGAGTACAACAAACAGCAGCTGTCTACATTCAGTTAAAGCAATGATCTCATGCGCTAAGTGCTCACAGTTGAGATGGGGGCATATAAGAACGTACAGATTGGCTGACACAAGACGTGAACTGGAGGAGGGGAGAAAAAGGGGTCTGGCTGTGGCCTTTTAACTCAGCCAAAAGGATTTGCCTCCTCCTCTCCAAGACTCCTCAATCTTTATGGCTTTTTTTTTTCCTCTGTTTTTTCTTTTTTTTTTTTTTCTTGCTTTGGCCATTTTCACTGTCTAGAGAATGTGGGATTCTTTCACTGAAAATGGATTTTACAAACAGCTCTTCAGAAACATTAAAACATGTGTGCTGATGTGGTTTGCAGACTGTGTCAAGTACGCTTAACATTCGATAAATCACCAATGCTGAATTTAAGTATTCTCTGCTGAAATCATGTCTGTCTTAGCATCACCAAAACAATTCATGTTTATGAGTTCAAGTGATTTGGCTCAGTTTAGCTGCAAAACGTGTCCCCGCCCATTCCTGATGAATGAGCCATGGATGATGTGAAGGGTGACAGACCAAGTAGTGTGGCAAAGTAAAGCCTTTTCCCCCTTACTGAATTTCACTAGGGGCTCATATATCAACATTTTCAGCCAGATTAGTCACCAATTTGGTATCAATCCACGCAGAGGAAACTTTTTCCATTTTCATAGCATTTCATTATGAAGACTTAAATTTGTCATCATCTCCTTACCATGGTGGCTGAATCCAGTTACTCCAGCATGTTAATTAAGTAAAAAACGCTCAGTTATGCATCTCTTTTCAAACTGCACAGCTACAAGTTTGAGAATACTTCAAGAACACTGTCATAGTCTATATTTCCTGCAGCTGCTCTCATTTAAACGAATAGTTCACACCTGCTAATGAAGTTCAAACCCCAGTTTATATGGCAAAATAGCTTATAACATCTGAAATCAATCCATTTAAAATTATATGCGTGTGGTTTGATGCAGATTGATTTGTAAGCACGAAAATAAATAGAAATTATATTTGCAGTAGTTTCTAAATAACAATCTCTTCAAATAAATGCCCCAATTCCCCCGGTAAACCTGCCAGTGCACCTGCTGAATAAAAGGTAAATATGTGGTTTACCTGTCCATCCGCCTCCAGGAGCGCTAAAAGTAACAAACAGCGCTAAGAGCGTCCCGCATGCGGCTAAAGCCATAGTGAATGTGGCGCTCTGCTGCTGTGGAGCGGCTCAACAGCTGGATGCAGAGGGCTGGAACACACCAGCCCTCCTCCCCTCTGTCGATGGGAATCCTGCTGTTCATTCTGACCTGCTGTTTATCAAGAAAAAAGCCCCCAGGAATCCATAACCCTCCTAAATCAGCTACCATTTTAATCTGCTGCTGCACGCTCTATTAAATAGAAAACAAAATAAACTTCTTAAATTACATTTGAATTAAATCTCGATTGATAATTATAAATCCCGATGTTTCTCAGTTTCTCTTGGTATTGCACTGTGTCATATATTTTTCAAAGTGATAATTGAACAAATGTCTCCCTCTTCAGTTAACACATACATTCATTTAAAGGAAAGGTCCAGCGTGAGGCTGGTAAAGTGGGGCAAACTGGTACAGGTTGATTCATATCAGATTGAAACTGTGCTCCATATCTTTTTCTTTTAAAAACAAAATACGTTTTTATACTTGCGTTGATAATTTTTTCAATGTGTTTTTGATAGTATTTTTCTAACGATCTAACGGTGTTGTTGGGCAGGTGAGTGCCTGGGGTCTCACCTGCACAGCCTCCTCCTCCCAGTCCCTCTCACGCAGCCATGATCCACCCCATTAAAGCTTTCCATGACACCATTAATGACCACGTGTGAAGCGAAAGGGCTGGGACCAAGAACATCTCAATTTAACCACAAGATGGCGCTAAAAGATATGCTTTTACTGTATTTTGTTTCCAACCGCACAAACTGCCTTCACGAACAGCTCAAAGAGAGAGGCACTGGAGATCTGAACTGAGTGTATAAAGAAATTGATGCACGTTTGATAATCTAAGTTGTTTTTTTTTTAAGTGAGCAAACACATGTGTTAATACTAAGATTGTGTAATCATAGAGGGTTTTTTATGTCCTCGTTGCCCTGTGTTTTGTCACCCTGAATATCAGTATGTATTTACTTGATCTTGTTTTCTGTGAAAAATCATTTCAGCTGCATGGCTCATGAGTCAGATATCTGCTGCCATGATTAAAGTGGCCTTATGTTTACAGCTCTTTAGAAATAGCCTTTAAAATTAAACTTTAATTTTCATTCAATTTTAAATGGAAGATTAATTTAGTGGAGCTTTCTCGTGCTTCCTCTGGATTTTGCTGTTGAAACATTCGACATTTCAAGAGTATTCTGACAAAATTATGCATTCAGTCACATTCACGTGAATATGAACAAGTCCTGAAAGATGCACTGAACAATTATCTTCATTGGTTTGTAGGTGGTTTTACTCTTATCCAACATCTCCCTCTGTTGGCTAAAGTATTTACTGGATAACAGATTCTCAACTTATGTGTGACATCCAATGAATGAGTGCTGTATTTTAAGATATCTCTAATTGGTCGTTTGAGTTAATTACATAATTGTATTTTCTATTTAATCAGAACATGTGTCAAATAGCAATTAAATTCTTATTAAATTAATTACAAAGAGGTATGATGCATGCGTTGTAGTCACCTTTACATTTCTCTTGCACAGACAGAAGGTTTCAGTTTTAACCTTATAATGATGTTGAATATTTTTCCAGTACCAGTGTCCAAAAACACATTCGTATACTCAATGCTGCAATGCATAGAAATAGTGCATGCGTCAGCAAAAATATGTAATGCATTTTTAAACCAAAACCTCTCCTTGAAGCTGATGGTTGTGTCCAGTCTCTGCAAACCAGCAAAAAGCTCCCTGCCTGTCTCCGATTCATGAACATACACACTATAGACATTTTGCTGGTGGTTTTAACGCAAGCATATGCTGACTTTTGAACTCACGTCTTGCTCTGTGACCCAAGATCTCTAAACATAGCTTTTCATTTGCATGATTATTTTTTAAACTCAGATTATGACATGTGCCGACAAGAGAGGCAAGACATAGGTTTTTCCAATACTAGGTCCTCCACCAGACCCCTCACAGATAGGCACTCATCCTTATCTGCACAGCCACAGTGTCCGCACAAGCAGCCCTCCCACTAACAGAACCCTGACTCTGGGTCTGGCTACCACAAGGCAGTCGAAACTATTGCAAACTTAGAAAAAAAAAAGAAATTATTGTTGAGAAATGGCAGGAAAACATGACTGCAGGTTTTCAGAATTACTTTCAAATATGTCAGGTATGTTTATTTATGTCTGATTTGATTTGTTGAATGCTTGTTGGTGATTTTCTTATGTATAACATCATGTGAATCACTTCACTAAAGATTAGCCTGAATTTCTAAGCCAGCCCATTTTTTCCAAAATGGTGGCTATGGGGCAAAGTGAGCCAAAGACTATGGGGTAAATTGAGCAAATGGTTCAACTTACCCCACCACAAGGCAATCACTCTCAGACCTATAAAATAGTATTTCTTTGAGTATACTTAACTGGTTTGTCAAATGTTTACCATTGTAGAACAGGGATCATGCCAAGAACCTACAAGAGAAAAACAAACTGGGGCTCAACACCCCTTGAAGCGCTGAAAAGAGCAGCCAATGATGTGAAGGCTGGAAAGTCCATCAGATCAGTGGCAAAAGAGAGAAATATTGACAGGTCAACATTGAGGAGATACATAAAGAAGAGGGAGGTAAAGGAAGTAAAAGCAGCAGGGTACAGTGGAACAGCAGAAGCAAGGAGAGCCTTTTCAGAGGAGATGGAGAAGGAGCTAGCAGACCATATGATGCAGCTCGCAGACCAGTTCCATGGCCTTACACCAAAGAAATGCCGGGAACTGTCATTAGAATTGGCAATCAGAAACAACATTCCTACCCCCAGCAACGGGAGAGAGAAAGGTTTAGCCGGTAGGAAGTGCAAGAAACAACATAACTCAGTAGGTTGGCATAGACCAATTTATCTTGTGTAGTTCAAAGAATCCTGACTGATACACCTGAAAAGCAGGCAATCGAAAGTGCCCATAAAGAAAGGCAAAATGAACAGAAAGGCAAAACAGAAAGAACCATAAAAGAGAAAGGAATGCTGAAGAGGAAACAAACCCAGAAGAAAATCGCAGTAGAAATCGGCTCTGAGGAGATTGATGTTGCTATCCCATTTGAAGACACTTCTGAGCACGAGAGTTCCAGCGATGAAAGAAGTGAACCAGATGTCTCAGATCTGGTAGTTGGTGACTTTGTCATAGTAAAATTTGCATCCAAATGCAGAAGCCACCATTACATTGGCTTGGTTGACAGCCTTGCAGGCAACGAAGTGAGTGCCAGATTTCTGAGAAGAATCCGAGGGATCACTGGCAGTAAGAAACCCACCTTTGCATTCAAGGAAAATGATGACGCATCTCTCCCACGGAGTGATGTGCTGAAGAAGCTACCTCAACCTCAAAAGGTTGGAGGAACTGCAAGGAGGGAGCAACAGTTCATGTTCCTCTGCAACCTTGACAGTTGGAATATTCAATAGTTCTTTTGATTAAATGGTTTTGAAACTAACTGGTGGTTTGTTCTCAGAAGTTCAAAACTTTTCAAACTGTTTGTTAGCACAATATGCTCATGTTTACATTTTAAAACCTAGAGGGTCAGTTTACCCCAAGATGGCTCAATTTACCCACTTACTTGGTTCAACTTACCCCTAACCTGGGGCAAGTTGAGCCACATGAGCACTTTTTTTTTAGAATTCATTGTTTTGGGCAGCTTTGTCAGAGATGCATTCTGATCATTTCATTTGATAGGAGACATCCTAAAATAAAATAATATGTTTTCATTTTATTTCTGTGTCATTTTTCCTTACGTCCAGAACAACATAAGTAAAAAATGGCTCATCTTACCCCACTCTCCCCCACACAAAGACACACACACACACACACATACACACATAGAGAAAATGGGCTTGACTGCCTTTCTCCTAGCTTTCCAGCCAGCTCGGTAATACAGAGTTACAAGGTGCTCTGTCTTATTATACGCATGCCTGAGGATGTTTATGACAGTTTCTGACTGCTCCAAGTGAACAGACGATATCATGATGAAATAGGCCATCTCATTTATTGTATCAGGACAGACTTGCTGTCCACAGGGTTTATTCGAATCAGTGTTTAAGCGACACAAATGGTCCCGTTCTATCACAAGTTTTCTTGTGAGGTTATTGTTTTGTTTGTTTATGCCACATTATGCTGTCAGGAAAAGGATTGGTCAACATCTATTCCTATCTATTCCTAACGGTGTGTACAAAAAAGGTTGATTTGTTTGGTGGTGTCTCTCCTTTGGGTGCCTGTGGCTCTTTGCCAATATGACATTGTAATGAAGAGCTTTTTCAGCCTGCTGAGCTCTTTGTTTTCTCCTGCGTCTGCTGATGGATTGAGGAATAACAACATAAGTTAGCTGCTTTGCATGAAAAAGGAAAGTTTTGTACACAGAAAAACTGATGTGTTCTAAAACTCCTTCAAGTAAGCAAGCTCAGTTACATATTTATTTATGTCTCATAAACAACAGAACTTGAATCACTGCATGCGTACTTTCACAGCTTTAATTAAAGGCCAAATCATCACACAGTGTTTTTATCCTCATCAAAATATGATGGTCGGTTTCCATTCTATTTTAAAATCTACAGCATAGTGGTTGTAGCTGGTGTGTCATTCCAGAAGAAGAATGACCTTTTATTTGTGAGCCTCTTTTTAGGCACATGCATTTGACATCAACGTTTCACTTCTCTGTACATCATAAACAGACAAATTACTTATTTCCTTCTAGTCCATACATTCTTATGCACCATAGACAGACAGTGAACACAACCCAAAAACAATGGCCACCAGGTGATTTCATGCAGCAAAGTATGGATGCTTTGTAAAGGGGCACCTCAGCTGTAGAAGGTAGAGGATGACTCCCCCTAAATCTCCTAACCTGCAGAGTGGTATCTGTTCTATGTTTACCACTGCTGACCCAGTTTTAAGACTTCGGAGATCTAAAAACAGTGCTGTCACGAGGACTCCTGCTGCCAACAGCACGATTTGATCCCCCAGAAACAGTAGCATTTCTTTAGAAATTCACAGTCCCTTTTCTTTTTTTATGTCCTTCTTTTTTTGGGTTTGGTTTTTGTACTCGTATGCCGGTTATCTAACTGAACACAACGGGTTTATGTAAAATTCATGACCAAATTGTGTTTTTGCATACATTTTATAACAAGGTCTTTCAAACATCAAACCACAACCTCAAGCTTGAGGAGAAACTTTATGTTTCACTTCCGTCTGTCTCATCTTGACTAGTCTTTGGGTTCAAACTGTTACATGAATCTGGAGTATCAAAAACCTTTCCTGTATTCTGCCGACCAGCTGGTCTTTTCGTGCAACAAGCACAGAGACTATAGCAAGTTACCATGGATGGCAGACCACAACTGCCCATTCCTTAAAGGGTAATGTTTATATTTGAACCCTGATATTCAGCAAACTCACTTACAGCTATATCTTACTAAGGGTAAAGGTGGGTTGCTTAGTAACAGTAATTATAGAGATTTCCTCCCACAATCTACAACAACAGATGCCAGTGTAAAATGTATCATTCTGCTATTATCCAAAGAGACCATCTAGCTAACGGCCCTTTTAGATTTTTAAAGTGGATATTTTTGGAGGAACATGAAAACCATTGTAAACGTTAAAAAAAAAAGAAGGATCACAGCGTTTTCCTTTTAACTTCCATTCTGGACTAAACCCCTGCAATTAGACCATCAACATCCTCTAGCTTCTGTACGCCCCCCCCCCCCCCCCCCCCCCCCACCCCCTTCCTGCGCAACGAACAGCGTAAAACCAAGAGCCAAACCAGAGATGAGCGGCAGACCCAGCAAACACGAAGTACGGAGGAGGAGGGGATGTTAACTGGAGCCCGAGATTTATTCCGTTTTTGTTTCTTGCTGGAAAAAAAAAACACTTTAGAGTACCCATGCTGCCAGTAAGGAAAACGATTTTTGGGTATATCGCTTCCAGACCCGAGCAGAGGCTCACTTAAGAAAAAAACTAATAGCAAAAACGGGTATTGCACCAAGCCGTTTCAAGTTTAATCCGTGTGGAGTAAAATTACTCCTCCTGCGCACTGTGGACTGATGATGGCTCTAGTGGTTCACCTGAAGACGGTGGCTCGCCTTCGGGGGAAAGGTGACAGGATCGCAAAAGTTACATTCAGAGGTAGGACATCTTTAACATTCAAGCATTTACAAACTAAATGTGTCCTGATCAAAGTTGGAGGGATTCGCTTCTGGAGCAATGGCCACCAAATATGAAAGCCACTGAGTGGTCAATACATGAAGACAAATAGGAGATTTTTCTTTTCTTTGTCATGTGAAAAAGGACAGCGATACACACATTTCTCATTTTAACCTCCCATTTTATCTGTACGATACATTACTTTGCTTAGCCAAATGGAAATTCGATACAACCAGTTAGATATCTTTTTTTGGATTATCAACCAATTTATCCAAGTCTCCTATAAATTTCTGGACATCATGTAATTTTCCAACATAAATAGCTATCAATTCACTGCAATGATGTGCAATCTTAGCTTGATATAAATAATGGAATATGAGTTATATAACCGTGCCAAAAAAAACTTCAGATCTGAGAACTTCTTGTTTTTTCATCTTCTATTATTAACTTCCGATTACTACATGTCTAATGGTTTTGTTCATACAGTTTTAACATTAAGAAACAATAAAGGTAAACGACTAGTTTTAATTAAGATGGAGTTGAACTGATTAGTAATGGCTTTGTCATCACAGAGGGATTTCCAAACCACTGTTTCTTCTACCCATCATACTCAGGGTTTGTGAGTACCGCAGAGAAAACATGGTTAGACAAAGAATTGTAAAATGTTCAGTGGATTCATTCATGCTTCTCTGTGTTTGTGTGTGTGTGTGTGTGTGTGTGTGTGTGTGTGTGCGGAAAACCCTATGAGACACCCAGGAAGAGAGGAGGTGTGCATGTTTCAGCACCTTGGACAGCAATCACTGCTGTCTGACAGGTTTTCAGTCCCAGCTGATCCCTGATAAGACCCACTGGGATGGAACAGTCACTATCACAGTTGTGGGGGATTTTACAAGATAGGCCTCCACCGTCTAATCCCGTCCTCTTCTCTATGAGAGTATGTGGGTCCAACTCTGGAGAAAATGATAGTTTTCAGTGTTCACTGTGCTGCAGTGACTTCACCAGCGTCCTGAGAACAAATTAACCGTCTCATCCAAGGCAGAATTGACCTGCTTTGCTTTCCTCCAAGAGACGACTGTCAGCGCAGCTACTTCAGTTCATATGTTAGATCATCTCAAATTACTTTAGCAGAGTGAACATCTGTTGTGAAGATTAGAGTCAGAGAGGATCCTGATTAAAGTACGCACAACAGGCGTATTCAATTTAATTCCATTCCGTTCTATTTATATGGCACCAAAACAAAACAAGTGTACTATCAAGGCCATTTAGAAATAGAGTTAAGTGCAGTAGTAAATAGATTAGCAAGGATTTTAAGTTGGTGAAAATCTGAAATCGAACCAGACCAGCTTTACATATAAAAAGATGTTCCAAACTCCTCAGAATTGGGCTTCTACTTATAATATGAATATAAAATATATAATAGAATATATATATAGATTAGAATAAATTCTAAATATATTTAAACGGTTTTTGAGGTTTTCAAACTCTGTCACAGTGTCATAGTTTTAACGTCAGTGTTTAAAGCAGCGGAAATGAGACCATCAATTGTAGAAACACAAAATTTGGGAAAGGTTCCATGTGATATTCATGTTTAATATGAGCAAGAGACACGTTTTGTTATTCATGTATCCCAAATTTCCTTAAGGCATTCTACAACACTCAGTTATTTTCACTTTCTTTCATCATACTTTCATCACTCTATATGAGAGAAAACACCATCTCATCCATGATTTCAATGTTTTGCTTTGTTGATTTCTTCAAGAAACTGGAGTGTAAAAGGCAGTGGCACAAATTTTGGTACAGATGATTTATTGGTCAGTAAATTCTATAGCTTAAACCAGGGAAAATACAGACAAGAGATAAGGATCAGAAGCTTCATAACAGAGCAAACAAAACAAAACAAAAATTCCCATAGTTTTTATCACATGATTAGTTTGATTTATGGCACTATTGTTTTTGACTGATTTTGCAACTAATCTGAACTTTCCTGTAAAAGTGTTGAAAAAGGCTGATGCAGGATTAAAACTACTCACAATAACTCTGCCACAAATGATGAAAGCTGTTGAAATGAGAGAACTGAAATAAAACCTGCATTGCATCATGTCTTCTGACAATTCCTTCTATAGGGTTTCATAACTTAGGTTCATTCTTTTACTAGTTGATCACCGTTCAGTGTGTGTGTGAGTGTGTGTGTCAGTTTGTGACTACTGTAGGTTTGTGAGTCATGCTTGTCCCAAGGCTTTTAGTTTGAGTTTTCTGAGTGCCTTCAGCCCTAAAAACTTCCTGTCTAGAGAGGAAGAGTTTTTTCAGTAAGAAACCCTTCTTAAACTGATCAAATACCATAGTATAGAAATAGAAACTATGCCTAAGTCTATAACACGCGTTTAATGCTGGTTTTTATTCAAGTCATAAATAAATCACAAGACTCACTAATACATTGGTAGATTCAAATTCATGTGTCTACTTATTTCACTTTAGGAGCTCATTTTCCCCTGGGTGAGGAATCCAGGTGCAAAAGCAAAAAGCCTTAAATCATGCGATATAGTACATTTTTGTAAGCAGTGCCACACTTTCTATGATGGATCAAGCAGTGGAATGACAATAAGTCACTGTTTAAAGTAAAAAAAAGTTTATTACATTTTTTTCTATTAAAGAAATCAACTAACTCCAAGTATACAAAAAGACAAAGGTGCTTGTTAAAGATGTCACAGCAACCTAAATTCACAGAAAAAAGGAAATTCACTCAAACAAACTGACCTGCCAAATGAAACAAAGGTCAAACTTTAAGCCCACTGAAACAAAAAATGAAAATAATACAAATAATTCCCTCTTTCCCACCTGGGATGTTGAGTTGTTGTATCATCCAGTTTCAGGGGTTAGCATACAAACCCAATTTTCCACCACTTTGGCGCATGGTTATGGTGATGAAAGCCTTTATTTTAGGAAAAATATTACTTAAACACCTGTTTTAGCAAAAAAGAAAAACACACTGCTGGTAATTTCAGTTCTCTGACATCAGCATTCTTAAATTATCTCAAAAACCCAATCTGTCTTAGTATTTGTTATAGGTCATGTTAACCCTCATGTCCAGTTCTGTTTCATTAACTGTGTTCCATGTTAACCACATCTTCTCTCCTTTTTAAATGTATCTTTTTTTGCCATGAAAGAATTTAACATTCCTTATACAGCTACTTCTTGGTAAGTTTTGTTCTTATTTACAAATCAGAGAAAGATTTTTGTCCTATTTTTTTTGCTAAATGGGTATTTGCAAAGGTTTATTTCTCTTTCTGAGAAGAAAGGTTGTTTTCTTTAGTCGATATTTTTTCAGGCGGTGAGAATTGCGCTCACCGCACTATACATATAACATAAGATATTATGCAGCTTTCTTGAGACAGTTAGATTAAATCTGGTTCATTATTTTTTGACAGCAGAAATAATCAATGAAATATGTACTCCTTGATTTCCTTTGATGTATCCATGCTGTTATCTATAGCTCATGCTTTTATCAGAGAAGAGCAAAGCAGAAGTCTCATTGCTTCTTGGTTTTAGACGTAGCCTGCAGGACCACAGGCTTCAACTGGATGACATGCTGCAGTTAGCTGAAAACTTCTGATGGCCTCTTTATTAAAAGAATATTCTTTATTTAGAATTTTTGCATCCTGTTTAAATCCTTTTCAATCTTGTTTTGAGTGACAAAAGTGAGAAAAATGGCTTTCAGAAAGACCCATTAAATTCCAAAAAGATTATGAAAAAAATCATGATTTCATTCAACATCCAGTTTTTCTGTTTCATCAATAATCAAAACGTGAAAGTGTGTGAATTAGAGCCGTTGTGGTCTTTTAGTGGTGTTGGATTTCGTATTCGACAGTGTTCTCCACCTTGTTTTGACTCTTTAGTTCCATCTATCTGCTAGAAATAAGATGCTCTTTGCTCTTTTTCTTTATTGGACATTTCTTTCAGACGTTCTCATATTGCTTGTCAACTCCTACATTTCTCATTGTCTCATCATGGAGACTAAGCAAGCCGTTTCTTTCTGTTTCACTGATCACATAACTTATATAAAATCAAAAATAATCAACCTTTCTAAGCTGACAGCTCAAGTTAGATAAAAACTCTGAAATGACAGTGGCTCTAGTATCAATAATGTAGGAGGAATGCTGTCTCTGTATTGGTCTCCCACTCTGACATTGAAGTGGTGTTTATTCAACTAAAATCTGCTTCAAAAGGATGTGGGTTTTTGAAAGGTTGTACAGAGTGTGGGAGTGGTGAGAAAAGAGAGATGGTAACACTTGTGAAGGGTGTCAAAGTTGGTTCCCAACACTGGCAAATTGTTAAGAAGGGGTTTGATGAAGCATAATATCTTTTCAGCTTTACTCCCCCAAGTGTGCATCTTTTTGTCTTCCCTGATAAAAATAAAATTGCTGCTTGAATAAACGCATGAAAAGATCTTTTCAATGCACAACAATAATGACATCAGAGATGGGTAGAAAAGTGTTTCTATCCAAGCTTACTGCTAAAGCCACACTGACAGGGGCTTGATAAACTTTGTAGCTCTGTATGTTTTTGTGTTGTATAACTGATGTGCTCATTGGCACCCACATACAACTTTTTGTACAAAGCAGAAGATGAACACTGGGAGCTGGAAACATTTATTAAGTGCCACTAGGTGAGCACAAGCTCCACAGGAGGGAATCTACCCATATAATGGATTCACAATATAACAACAGACGTTGGTAAACTCAAGGAAGAATAGATTCTGCAGTTCTATTGTTTTTACTAAAAGAAATTCTACTTTTTTTAGTTATCAGGCTTCTCTGTTTCTCTGGCTCGGGTCACTGATTTTTATTGAACAACAATGAAAATATGACAGTAGGCCATAGTGTGCAAAAGGAAACCTAAAATGTTAGAAATGTAACTGGGAAAAACAGTTGCTGAACCATTGGGAGTTCAGCACAACGTATAATAATTATTGTCTGAATTCTTGTATAAATGTCTCATTAAAAAAGGAAGTTGCTTCTATTTGTTATGTATACACATATCTTCGATAAATGTACCTTATTTTTTAATGAAATGCAACCGATAAAATGGGTGAGACTGCGGTAATCACAATACGATCAGCTGAATTGTACTTTAACCACTAAATTCCTCCTTGTTTTCCAGGTCTGCCTTTCTACAGCAGGGTAGCAGAAAACTGTGAGGACGTGGCTCACTTTAACGAGGTCAGTGTATTTATTCGCTCTGTATAGTTAATCACCACACAGCAATTACAGGATAAGAATATGCTGATAGGGGAAGGTTGCAAGTTTTGCTTTTGAACTGAGTTGGGAATTCAATGATTAGCTGTTTTAATGATGGTTGTGGTTTACTTAAAATCAAATATCCACATTAATGAGACATATATATCGAATGTATATCGAAGATAGCAGGGAACTGTATTAGTCCAGTTTACACGCAAACTCTGATATTATTAACTAATTTGAAATATCCCCCTTTCCCCGAAAGCAGAGTTTGTGGTGCTGGAAATTCTATTTGGTGCTGTTGCTTCTTTTTGAAATATAGATATCAGTTCAAGTTTAACTTTAGGTTCTACTGCAGCACTTTTTCTTACATGTTATTCTATGTTAAAGTAACTTTTGATCTCTCAATCAGGCATAACTTGATGGCAACTTTCAATAACTATTGTAAATGTACTCTTACAGCTGTATTATTTTCAGGCCTCATAACTCGCAGACTGCTATAATGTAGCATACAGAGAAATATCTCCAATATGTTAGCATTTTCCATATTTCATGTACAAACGGCCAAAAAGCAAGATGAGAAAAATCTAGAGCGAACTAAAAACCCAGCAGCTGAAGGCCGGCCAAACATATCTTAATCATCTTCTCTTCTCCACATACGGTCGGTCAGAGTCTGAGAGGCAGAGCTCTCAGCTTGTGCATAACACTTGAAAAAATAAATAAATTGAGGACATTATTCTCCACCGCTGTGGTGAGAAAGAGCTAAACCCTTAAACAACATTTCTCTGCGACCTAGTGTTTAAACTTAAGAAGAGTCTTTTGGAAATTATTGGTTTAACTCCTGTAAATTTTGTTATTCTGAGCAACAGCACACATCTGGGTTTTCTGCTGCTGGTTGTCCTCTCTTTGCAACCTGGCTGCTGTGAGATTGTGGGGAATGTTCCCTGTCGGATTTCTATAAGCTCCTATGACACTTAGAAACCGGTTTTGTGATGAACTGAAATTTGCAGAGGGCTTTAAGGGAGCCGTACAGGAGGGAGTTAAACATTAAGAGTGAAAGAAAAATTTAGGAGCAGAATTTACAGAAAGGCATAGTGGGCTAAAGTCAGGAAGGAAAAAGAAAAAACAAAGCATAAGCACCTCAAACACATTCGGTACCTCCCTGAGGAAGCTTTGACTACAGCTTTTTTTTCCCTCTCTCTCTCTCCCTGTGCGGCTGGTTTTTTTAAAGAAAAACATTTTTCTTTGATGGCTCACAAGCAGAGTGCTGCTTCCTTTACTGATAACCAGCCCCTTTGTTTTCATCCTAATCAGGAAAATGGCTGAATTACTGTACAGACTCAGACAGTCTCTCCCACTTGTGTGCACACACACGCACACACACACACACACACACACACACACACACACACACACACACAC